TAGCCTGTGTCAGACTGGGACATGGCATTCATACCACACATGAGATCCGGGGTCGGGGTGTGAAACTGGTAGGAGCAGTACAGGGGGTGCTCACCTGCTGGGACACTGCTCCCACTGGCAAGCATAAGAACTGAGACTGGGGTTAAACCAGACTCAGCAAGGCTACAACACCTGTTGACCTGCAAGTGAACTCGGTTAGGGGAGAACCAGGCTGGGCTAACCAACTGTACCCAATGGTGCATACATGAGCCAGAGTAAGTGCGGGCTGGTTGGGCTTTACCACAGCATCAGCGGGTAAGTGCTGGGACTGGGGGCAAATCCTGTCAAGCTAAACTGCAGAACCTCCTGGACAGTGCAAGATCTGGGACTGGGAGTGGGCCCAGTGGGGTAACTGTGGGCAACTCTGATGGGTTGAAATTCCCACTGGTGGGCATGAAAACCAGGGCTAGGGTAAGGCCTGGCTAGACAGGTGGTGGCATCCACCGACATGAGTGTGGGCTGGACAGCGGGGTTGGTTGGGTTGATCTGAGCTTCAATACCCACTGACATGTATGAGAGCTGAATGTGACATGGGACAGACTGGACAAGTCTGCTATACATACTGGCAAGCACAGGAATCAGGGCTGAGCCTCGTGGGGGTTATTGTGTATTGCTCTGACTAGGCTGCAGCTCCTGCTAGTATACATGAGGACTGAGTGTGTGGTGGGCAGGGTAGGACTGGGCCGCAGCATCTATTACATGAGAGACAGGGCTGGAGAGATAATTGACCCCAAAATTGTAACTACCAGTGTGTACATAGACTGATGGGAGGGACAAACAGAGCCAGACCCCGTAGTGGTAAGAATACACAATAGTCAGATCTGCAATTACTTCAGACAAGGTTTGTTTAGAGATCCCCCCAACTGAACTGCTCGACTCAGAACCCCAACCATGGAGAGAACCACAGGACCTGTGATCTGACTGTGGAGTGCTAGTATCAGAACTGAGCCTCCTCAGTGGCTGAGACGGAACAGTAGACAGCATACTCAGATGCACATGGAGGATATGGCAGTCCATTGGAGCCTGCTGAGGACATCTCGTACTGTAACAGAGGGAGGAGAGCAGGAACAATTGGTCAACTACACCAGCCAAGTGTTGGCAGCAAATATTCGGGTGAAAGGAGACTCTAAGGTGGACTATGTCAGCCAATGGGCCTTGGAAGGATTTCTTCATCCATGGACCGGCAAGATAAACAGCATTTCTCAGCTATTGAACTATCGAAACTGCTTGAGCAGAATCCTTGGAGTATGCTCCACATCAGGACCCTGGGATGACATCGGGTGGCCTTTCTCCATCCCTGGGCACTGAGGCTGTTGGGAGGCTGGGTGCAGCTTCTCTCTGTATCTCCCCCTTTCCCCTAGCTACAGAGAGAATAAAGGAAGTGTGGAAACAATGGTCTCATGCACATTCCCCTAATCCTCGACCCTTCACACCCTAATCAACTATATAAACATCATAAAAAATAAAATCAGGGGATGGGTGCAGTAGGCTAGTGCCTTTATCCTGGCCTTGCAATCACCTGGATTCCATTCATGTGCCAGTTTGTGTCCCAGCTGTTCTACATCCCTTCCAGTTCCCTGTGGTCTGGGAAATCAGTCGAGGACAGGCCAAAGTGTTGGGACCCTGCACTCACATGAGTGACCCAGAAGAGAGTCCTGGCTCCTGGCTTCAGATCAGCTCAGCTCTGGCTGTTGCGGCCATTTGGGAAGTGAATCAGCAGATGGAAGATCTTCTGCTCTGTCTCTCTTACTTTCTGTAAATCTGACTTTCCAATAGAAAAAATTACTTAATAAAATTTTAAAAACTTCAACATATGAATTAGACTATATTACTGTTTTCCCTAAAACACCTTAGCCTTACTCAGTGTGTCAGGGCCCACCTCTTCTCTGGGCCCCACCCTCAGCAGCTCCAGCCATTCAGGGTCCTCTCTAACACCATGCTCCCCACTTCTCTGGGTCTCAAGCATAACTTCTTTAGATGGGTCTTCCCAACCAACTAATCTTGAATCCCCCTAGTGCTGCACTTAAAACTCCTGCTTCCTTTTTTCATTTCACGTCTCACAAGCTGATCAAACACATATTTGTGCATCATATTACCTAATGCCAATCCTGGACTACAAAGGTTGGCTGAGGCCAGAATTGCCGATGTTGTCCACAATCCACCTGGAGGGTCTCTAATACCTGGCCCAAGAGCGCACGTCACACAAAATCTTACCGACGTGCCTGCCCTCTTCGTTCACTTTGGCTCAGTATCTACTTGGCCAGTGGGAGATAGGAGCTGGCAAGCCAACAGTGTGTCTGTTATGCATTTTATGCTGTTCCTCCGAGGGACTCTGAACCCAGGCCCCAGTTACTCAGTATATGCATCTTTTTTTTTCCTTTTTCTTCTCTCTCTCTCTCTTTTTATCCATCTTTACTAATCTTTGTCTTCCTCATTGTTTCGTTCTTTCTGGTCCCTACTCCTTGCCCTGCCCTTACCCCATGGAGTCCAAAACAAATGCCCCGTGTCCATGAGTTATTTATCAACATTGCTTTGGGGGGGTAGTTACAGGTTGGGAGGGATCCACCTTAGCACAGCTATCACTTTCTTTTTGCTGATCATTCTCCACATTTGGGTCCATCCCTGCCTATGTTTTGGGTTCCTAAAAGCAGGAACCAGGTATCTATATCTATGTATATATATATATATATATATTATTTTTTTCCCTTTTTACAGTTATTAACTTAGGGCCTATCAAATATCAATAAACATACATCGATTCTGATTTGATTTGACCAAAGAGGCGTGGTTATCTGTGGCTCCTGGGATGTCAGAGCCATTTCTGGGACAAAGGCCTCAGGCTGGTATCAGATAAGGCGAGGGCTGCCAGGGCAATTGCGGTTTCCTTGTTTCTGTGCCCTGCTTCTTTCCCAGGTTCTTGGAGCCTGTCAGCAGCTGCTCCAACGTGCTCGGAGCTGAGGCAGGCCCAGGGGGTTCCGCTTGCCACCTGCTTTCTTCAAGGAGAGGGAAAGCAGCTCCGCCTTCTCCCCTAGGGGCGGGGGAGGACAGACTCTGCATGTCTGTCATCTGGTGCTGGACACCAGATGTTGGGTCCCCGTGGCCACAAGGCTACAGTCAGGGACTGCAGTCAATGGCTGCACAGCTCTCTACCAGTCTTGAGTGAACCTCAAAGACAGAGGGAGGACGGGCAGCTGGTTAAGGTGCACACGGCCCAGACGTACTTGGCAGACAACAGCTATGGTTAGGGGTCTACCACTAATTGGATGCTTCCGTGGTCATGTACCACTTTTCTGCCTACCGTTTCCTGAAAGTGAAAAGTTTGGATTACAGAGTCTCTAATAACCTCTATCTCTAGGATTCTTTAAGATCCTCTCAGAACTAGAGGGAAGCTGGTCTGTCAGTTACACTGCTAAGGGTCTAATTGGTAATAGTGTTATACGGAGGATAAACCCACCACCACTCAGCTTCAGCCTCTTCAGCCCTGCCCACTCCCCGTGGCAGCTTACTTCCTCCTGTGCAAACCTGGCATGTCCTTGGTTGTTTCAGGAAGAGAAATGTTCATTGAGACAATGTGTAGATTCACATTCAGTCCTAAGAAATAGGTTGCCTAGTCTCTGCTAGGGATAACATGTTGCAACAGTTTAGTATGAGATCGAAGCTAGGATCTGACATGATACAGGGCATCTCTCTTATTCAGACTTCCCCAGTTTTCTTGCAACCATTTGTGTGTGTGTGTGTGTCAGTTTCTTCATATTGTTATCACCTGTACCACTGCAATCAAGATTCTGAATACTTCCCAGGCCACGAGGATGAAGTTGCCCTTTGATAGTCACAATCGCTTCCCCAGCACCTGTTCCACCCTGGACTTGTGTTCTCAAAATCTTGTTTGGAAACCAACTTAGACTTAGAGAGTGTCCCAGTACCCCCTGGACCCAGCAGCATTTTCTCCATTTGCCTGAAACCACGCCCCATCCCACTTTTTTTTTTCTTCTTCCATCATGCTGCCTTTTTTCCTCTTCTAGACTCACTTGAAGGTAAGTTGCACATTAAGACTCTTTATTCAGGTCCTTCTTGTTTCACTGTGGCTTCTTAAGTATAGAGGTGGGTTTGCACAGAAACAGCGCAAGTTCCCAACACCAACTGAACCATGACTGAATACCTCAAGGTGACCTGTTGGAGACGCACACTGTCCTCTTCCTTCCCCGGGGACCCAGTCTAGGGCCATGTAGTGCATTTTTTAAAAATACCATCCCCCATCCCCTGCCCCCTTTTCCGCAGGTGTTCCTCATTTGGTGTTTGTCTGAAGTTCCCTCGTCTCTAGGCGCCCCCAGAGGTGAGGAGGTTTAAAGCCCAGAATCCCCATCCACTTTCGCTGGCTAAGTTAACTTTCATCACCTGTTCAGGACGTTTGCCACATGCCCTGCTTAGGTGATGCCTTCCCCCCCAAAAAATCTAAAATCTAAACCAACTGCGGGTGGACGTGCTCACGCAACACACCCACCCTCCACAACCTCCTCCCCCAACCCTTCCTGGCGAGTCGGTACTCAGCTGTGATTCCTGCTGGAACTACGGTCATCCTAGCTAGACTTGATGATCTCAAGTTTTCTGCTCCCCCACCCCGGGTTTTGTAGAATTAAGGTTCAGGGCCGAGTCTTCTCCCACGTTCTCTCAACGTGCTCTGTGATCTCCGTGCGGAGACCTGACCCCAGAAGTGGACACGTGGAAAGGAGCTGATGTGGGTTGTTCCCCGTTAAACCGTCCACCAGCGATTTGCATAATGGAGCAGCTTGCCAGCGCTCACTTCCTGGGTCGATCCCTGACTCCCTCCCGGTCACCCCAGGGTGGCATCTTAATCCAAGTGCCCCTCAGTCTCGCACCTTGGACCACCACATTAGTTGCTTGTTTCGGAGACGGCCCGAGAGACCCTCCCCGAGACCCTCTCCGTGCCGACCCGCCAACAGACCTCCGGGACCTCCTGAGTCCTTCTCCAGGGCTCGCCCGTCAAGGCGCAGGGGCGGGCAGAGGGTGGCCGCTGTAGAGGCAGGAGGGGCGCGCCTCCGGTGGCGGGCTGGCATCCCCGGAGGGCTGCCCGCAGGTGGCGGCGCCCGGCGGCGGGCGGGGCCGGGGAAGGGGAGGGCTCGGCGCGCGTCCGGCGGTGACGGCAGCGCGGAGGGGAGGTGCGAAGCGCCCGCCCGCCCGCGGGAGCCATGGCGAGAGGCCGCACCGCGGCGCCCGCTTCAGTCCCCGCGTCTGCAGCAGCTCCCCCGCTCGCCGCCCCGGGGCCCGCCAGGCCGCCGCCCCCGTGCGCCCCGAGTCCGTGACGTTCGCGCGCTTGCGAACCGGGCGTCCCCCTCCGAGAGGGGCCGCGCGCAGCAGGGTGGCGCGGGGAAGCCCGCGCGCATCCTTAGCGTCCCTGAGAGTCTCGAGCACTCCGACGACCCCCACTTCACGTCCCGGCACCTCGGACCCCCGCCCTCCCACCCCACGAGTCCCGGAGCGCCAGGGCGACGGGCGGGCGGGCAACAGAAGGAGGAGAGCCAAGCAGAACCCCGGCGTGCGTGCCCGGTGCCGCCCGGCCGGCTACGGCGAAAGGAACCGGAGCGGCCGGGCGGCCAGGGCCGGGCTGAGTACGACCAAGAGGAGGTGGCCGGGAGAGCCGAGCGCCCGGGCGGCCCGCGCACCGGAAGCCCCCGGGACCGCGCCTGCTGCGGGGCCGCGATCCGTGCGCCTCCTGAGGGGTAAGCCTCCGACGCGTCGGTCCTGGGGGCGGGGAAGGACGCGGCGTTCCGAGAGTGTCACGCGCGATTGAGTGGCGGCGGGAGAGGCCAGCGCCCGCACCCTGGGGGGGTAGGTGGGGAGGGGACAGCCCAGCTCCAGCACGGGCCGCACCTGCAGGAAGACCCTAGGGAACCCGGTGATGGGGTGGGGAGAGCCCTTGGGGCATTGTGTCTGCTCCCGTCGCGTGGCCTGGATTCTGGGTTCCTGCACGCCGAGGTGACAGTGAGGCGACCTTCAAAGAGCCCCGAGCTGAGCCAAGCCTGGGCTCGGGGTCAGCAGCCCTCCTTCCAGCTCAGTAGCCGAACTTTCCACGCGTCGTGGCTTCGGAGCGTCAGGGTTTTTCACCGGGCCTTTCTTGGAGCTCTGAGAGTTGAAGTTTTACTTTGTCACTTTTTTTTTTTTTGTGGATGCAAGTTTTAAGGAAAAAACAAATCCTTTTCCAGACCCCAAGGTCATCTTTCTTGGAGGGAAAAAGTGAGATGCGTGTTCTATTGTGAAGTTGGGTCCTGGGAGGATGTCGGAAGGCAGCCTGCTCTTTGGGGGTGCCGCCGGGGACCCTCTGCGTTAGTGCCCTTGGCCTCGCACTTGCTCTGATGTTGCCTTCAGTGTCGGCTTTGGGAGCCAACAAGATGGAAATGTTTAGGCTTCTGAGCCTCGCCTTCCTTCTGCCACTCCTGCACCCCCATGTTTCTCTGCAACTAACAATGTGTGTAAGCTTCTTCGATAAAGTTCAGGGTGGCTCCTCTTTTCTAGAGGGTCTTTGGGCTGTTCAGGAGAGGAACTGGGGAGATCCTATTGGAGGGAAACAAACTGGTTCCTGGGTGCTTTCCAACTTTCAGCTACCAGAATAGCAAGGAGCAAAGTGGTCACCCTGGGCAGCTCTGCACTGGGGTCTCCCACCTGGTATGGTAGAGGGTGACAGGCAGGCCAACAGGGGGCTTGACTGGTTGGCTCAGAGCCTGGGATCTGGGATGACAGATGGCAGCTTCCTCTTTGGTGGTGCCCTTCTGCTCTTTGACCCCGACCCCACCCCCTCCCAGCTTGCTGCTAAGTGCTGGGCCAGCTGGAGGGTTCTACCCTGGAGATGCTGAAGGTGCTGCAGAAGCCCCAGTCTGCGTGCAGCAGGTTCAGTGAGAGTTGGATTTCAACTTGGCCCCTGCGCCACAGCTGTTTCCTGTTTGATGCCCTCAGGGACCTGTAGGATTGGGTTTCCCATCGCAGGCGCTCCCGTTGAGATGTCTCCCACCCCCGCTGTGTTGCTTTGGCTCCTTGATGCTCGGGTGAGCTAAGAAGGACAGTGCCCTGGGAGTGGGAAATCTGGTTCCAATTTCGGCTCCCTTCTCCTGGCCTTGTGAGCCTGGGCTTGTCCTTAGCCTGTCTGCCCTGGGGCTTCCCTCTCTGGGATTGTCCTCCCTGGACCCCCAGCTTAGCACTGCCCTCCCTGGACCCCCAGCATGGCACTGCCCTTCCCAGACTCCTAACATGGCATTGCCCTGAGGATTCAAGAGAAGAGTTTAAAATGAAGGAGTAAAGAAGGGAGGGGGCAGGTTTCTGTTCTCCTTCCAACTTGACAATGTGACTCTGGTAACCTCTCTGAGCCCCAATAGAGACAATAAAGCAGGGATTATAATGGTAATGGTAATGTTTTACAGGGTTATTATGAGGGCCACCTGGGTCGTGGTAAAGGGCTTTGGAAATCACAGAACATTCTTCCTATCTGAAGGGTTCTTAAAACTTTCAGTTTGTAAACAAACCTCGTCTTACTGTTTGCCTACCCCTGTGGACTCCGTTCCCAACCCTCCATCGTGAGCCCCTACCTCTGACTTAGCCTCTGTCATTGTTAGGCAGTTCCTGAATTAGCCATCTGGGCGCTCTGGCTTGACCTTGTGTCCCCAGGGTGGAGAGTGGCTGCCTTCCCGATTCCATCAGCCAGCCGTCACTGTTCTCTTGAACCTTAAGGGAACTGGACAGGGTAGGTAGGCAGACAGACGGAGGTGGAGGAGAAAGCAGGGGTGGGGAGGTGCTTTGCCTACAAGGCACAGTTCTTTTTAATAAATACACTGATTACTTAGGGAGAGTGCTGCTTTATTCCCTGAATGACTGCACTAGCCAGGGCTGGGTGCATGTGGAAACCAGCAGCCAGGAACTCAATGCAGGAACTCATCCACTCCCTGCTACGTAGCCATGGCTAGGGCCCAACTAGTTGAATTAGGACCTGCCGTCTCCCAGGGTGCTGCTGTGCAGGGAGCTGAGCTAGATCACAGTTCCGAGCAGTTCCACAGGGTATCTTAGCCTCTAGGCCAAATGCCCATTCTAGAGGCTGGTTCTTTCCTACCCAGGGCTCAAATAAAGGAATGCTTGGAAGGGTGAAGGGTTCATCCAAACTCCCTGTGGGTCGCAGAGGTCTCCTGCAGCCTTTTGTGTGAGCTAACAGGTGAACTTGGGGAGAATGATAGGAAGACAGCCTCTTCTCAGCTGTGATTCTGCAGTCCTTGGGTTTAGGAGTGGATCCTGATTGCCTTCACGTCTCAGGATTACAGCTGAAACTGAATGATTTTGAGGAAAGGCAAAAGGATGCTGCTTCCCAAAGAAGCAGGGGAAGACCTGTGTGTTCGCTTACGGTAGCTATTGGGCGGGGATACGCTGTTGGTCGGGTCTTCTGGTTCTTCTCTTTTTCTTTCTCTCCAAATGATTGTTCCCTGTTCTGATTTCCTCTTTCTCCTCCGTATCTACCTAATTATCTGAGGTACAGAGAGCACCTGTCTGCTAGAATGCTCTCCAGGTGCCTGCAGCCAGGAGGCAGGTACCCAGTTCAGGTGTCCTGTGTGAGTGGCAGAAACCCAGTTCCGTGGGGACCACCTCTGCCTCCCGGAATCTCCGTGCACCGGAAGCCACAGTCAGGAGCCAAAGCGTGATCCCAGGGACTCCGGCTTCAACCACAAAACTAAATACTGCTTCCCCCGCCGCTGACTTGCCTTCCTATCAGGTGTATCTACATGGGGACCACAGTTCAATGTCTGAAGTCCCAAGTTTTATGGAAGCGACAGTTAATACAAGCGTGTCGTGTAAGTCTGATGTCTTAGAGCTACGTGTAATACTTCTAGTTCCTGGCATTTGGAAGCAGAAGATACTACAGGTAACCCCGTCATGGCTAGCATCAAGTACAGGATGTGTTCTTATCAATTTCATATCCTCTGTCTGAGGCCGAGTTATTAAATGGACACGTAGGAAATAGAAGGGGGGAAAAAAAAGCAGCAGGCAACCTGCTGAGAGGAAATGGATTTCTGTGTTAACGTCTGGTACAGATGCGCCAACATCAAGCAGAAACAGGTGTCTCAGTGTATTAAAGCACCACTAGCAGATACACAATCAGGATATGTTAAGTAGAACCTCGCTGTGAGTTTTTAGGGGACTGTGCAGTCTTTCTTTTCCCCTTATGAGTTCATTGAAAATAACCATGAGCCTGTGGATTAAGCAGTTTGGTATTTTCTGAAAAGTATTTCTTTTCTATCTCATCCAAGCATTTCACTCTCGTTGCATTCCTCTTTAATGACTGAACTTAACTACAACATAAAGAGATTGTGATAATTTAAAAAAACGCCATGGTCTACTGATCTGTGTTCACCCAGATTAGCTATTAGTAAGTCCCATATCCAATCACATAGACACAGGTTTATTTCGGCTATGTGAAACATGTCGATTAAGAATGGGGATGTGGGACGATTTTTTTTTCTCTTTTCTCTCTCCAGGGTTAGAGGGAGAAAGTGTGGCATTCCTGGAGAGCTCTGGAGCATTCCAGGTGCTCCGTCTGGTCCTCAGATGGTTTTTGGTGAAATCTGAAGTCATTCCAGGCAGTTCTCAAACATCAGCAACATGTACTGCAGGCCTGGATTTCTCACAGCATGGTGACATGCCACAACTTCCTAGTTTCTGAGTTCTGTAAAAAGTGGAACAGATATGATCTCATGCAGGCTTGCCTTCTGGGGACATGGGCCCTTAGCAGATAGCCTCTGTCTGGGATGTGACCAGAACGTTGGCTGTGGCTTGCCCTTACCCCTTGGTCCTGATCAGGAATCACAACCTGGAGGAGCAGGTGCACAATGAAGGAAGAAAAACCCTCCTCCTTGAATTTGCATTCCTCTGAGAAACATCAGGGAAAGCGTTCTTGAAGATGGGGAGGGGGAGAAGGGAGGGATTCCCTTTGGTCTCCATGAGCATTCATATTCATCAGTGTAATGAAGAAGGCCAGGCACAATTATGGCAGACAGCTCACTGTTGATGCCAAGGGACTGAGTCCAGGCTTGTGCTGGGTCCTAGAGGCTGTGCCTGCCTGGCCAGGGTCTCGGCTCTGGCTGCCTGCAGCAGTGCTGGGCCTTGCTTCTCAAAGGGTTGTTTATCACCAGCAACATCACCTTCACCTGGTTAGACATGCAGCACCTCAGACCTGCCAAGTGGAAATCTGCACTTTAGCCGATCGCCCAGGTGGCATCTCTGTTCAGATGCTCCCCCGTGGTTGCACAGATAAACGTTGCTTGCACCTGCATGAGGCCAGATGTTACAGAGAGTGGGAGAGCAAGTGGCCAGCTCACACGCTCGCAGCCTGAAAGCATTGGTGCTCAAAGTTGCATTCCTCATTTCATCCTCTGCTGAAAGGAAAGGGATTAGGCTTTCTTAGAAAAGACTGCTGAGTTCATTCTCTCCCCAGTTCCATCTCTCCCTTTCCTTTAATTGTGTGCAGTGAACTGCAAAATGCGAGGACCAAGGAGGGAAAGGGCAGACGGTCACTCTAAATCAGCACTGGGGGAAAACAGTGGGGGGAAAATGGTCCCATAATGCAGCTAGTCATTAACCCCCACCTTCCCTCAACAGACCCCTGAGAACTTTGATGTTTCTCAAAAGTGTGCCAGAGCCATGAATAGACAATGCTCCCAAATGTCTAGCTGAGTGCTTGGAGCATCCATCCA